TCATTTTTAAATTACTTTGCTGCCAAATGCATTGATCTCCACTAATGATGACGTATTAGTTTTATTTAAGCTTTAATTCAATAAATCTTCAAAACTACTGAACTGAAGTACATTAATTTTATAGCATTATAAAGGGAATTGAAAGACCTTTAAAATAAAGTATCACTCGACCCCTCTTTTCATTTAAGATTTTGGGGGTGGTGTCACCCCCACTTAGGGGGCTGCACGTGCTAACGTGATTTTTTGCCAAACTTGTGTCCCCCTCGACAACAAAATCGACGGGTCTGAGCGTTTTTAAAAAAAAACTGAGCTGCCATTAAATGCGTCTGTTTCGTTTTAGATGCGCCACCCTATGTATACTAAGTGACATATAAAATGCAACACTCAGAAATGTTTATTGAATTTTGATAAAAGAATCCGAACAATATGAACATATTCACTTAATATTCAGTGATTTTTCTGTGTTGGCTTTATTTGTTTCATTGTTGATGCATTGCATTATCATGCCTAGAGTTCGCAGACGCGCTAATTTCACTCAACTTTCCGAGTTTGAAAGGGGTCGGATAATCCGGTTCGAGGTAGCATGACTATCCAGCGCTATATCCACGAAGTTTTACAACCACATCTGCTTCCCTTTTTGCAAGGTCCACCTTTTCAGTAGGACAATGCACGACCTCATGTTACACGTGTTACTTTAGACTTTTTAGAAGCGTCCAAAGTAAATCTGCTTCAGTGGCTTTCTCGATCTGCAGACCTTTCCCCCATCGAACATGTATGAGACATGATGGGAAGAAGGTTGCAAAATTCACCACACCCTCCACAAACATTGGAGGCTCTACGAAACCTAATTCAGATAGCCTGGGATACAATACACAAAGAAGACATCGATCACCTAATACCTAATCCAGAGAATGCCGCGACGACTTAACGAATGTGTATCGAACAGAGGAGCTCCAACACATCTTTAACTAAGGTGGGATATCTCAGCTATTTTGCGAAATTTCGAGTATCTGCGAAATCTGAGAAAGAACAGAGGAGTTGTGGCTTTTGTCCGCAGCAGTATTTCCTGCTCCAGAGATGTTTCTTTGGAATCAGACCAGAAGGACATTCTGTGGCTTCGCTTCAACTCCAACCCATCACCCAAATTTATTTGCTGCCTGTATCGCTCTCCCTCGGACCATAACTGGGATGACCTACTCGAATACCTCGCCGTCCAGATCGACTTCCAGAACATTAATCACTCTGCTTCAGAGGTAGTTCTTTTCGGTGATTTCAATGCCCATAATGAGCTTTGGTTGGGCTCAAACAAGACCGATGCAGCAGGTCGTGCAGTCGAAGCGGTCGCTCTTACTCAAGGGCTGACCCAGCTGGTGACGAGCCCTACTTTTTTCCCCCGCGTCTCGTCACACGCCAGTAGCCTGCTGGAACTCTTTTTGACCATGCATCAGGTCCCTTACAACACTGATCACCTGTCCCTCCTAGGTAACTCAGACCACGGTGTTGTGGAGGTTAGGTTTCGGTCAGAACCCGCTGTGATAGCAGAAACTCGTATAGGCCGTGCCGACTGGGAGGGGCTCAGAGACTTCTTCTCTAGCTTTCCTTGTAGAGATGTCTATTTCGCTGACGTGGATGCGTCGGCTGTCTGTTCTTCGATAACCGAAATTATTCACGTCGGAATGGAGGAATACATCCCTCACACAGTAAAAGTGCCTAAACCAGGGTCCAACGGCTGGTTTAACAAATCGTGTGACACTGCTCGCCAGCAGAACACACAGAACCTTCTTACAAAACCTAACTGTAGAGAACAGACAAGCCGACGTCGAGTCCAGAAACAAATATAACGAAGCGGTTCGCAATGCCAAAAACCAGCACTACCTAAAAGTTAGGCATAGGGTAATGTCGCAGCGCAATGGCAGTCGGTCTTTCTCTGAACTTCTCACACAGTATAGCCTTCCACCACTTACGTGTCAAGATGGAACTATTGTATTCGACTCAAAGGCCAAGGCGGAAGTGCTAGCCAAGATCTTTGCTGCCAACTCTACCATGGACGTCCCCCCCTCCCCCAACGCCCAAGTGCCGTCAATACAAAGGGTTCCCTACACTATGCGGAAGGTAACATTCAGAGATAAGACCGTAAGACGAGTGCTCTTGTCTCTCGACATCAACAAAGCTTCTGGTCCAGACTTGATTCCTGCCATTGTACTGAAGAGGTGTGCAGCGGAACTTGCTCCAGTTCTTTCGCGTCTCTTCCAAATATCTAATGAATCCGGCACCTTCCCAGAAAACTGGAAATTTGCTCATGTCCAACCCATCCCAAAAAAAGGATCTAAGACCGACCCTTACAACTACAGGCCTATAGCTCTGCTTTCTGTTATAAGTAAGGTGATGGAGAGGTGCATAAGTCGCGAGCTTCTGGACTACCTCGAACGTCACAGCCTGATTAGCGACAGGCAGTATGGTTTCCGGCACCAACGATCCACAGGGGACCTCCTAGCTTATGTCACGCAATTGTGGAGTAAACTCATCCAGTCTTATGGTGAGGCTCATGTCGTTGCTGTTGACATCACGAAAGCGTTCGATCAGCTGTGGCACGCTGCCCTCTTAAGCAAACTCCCATCCTATGGCCTCCCAGAAAAGCTTTGCAGATGGGTGTCAGACTTATCTCTGGCCGCAAGATATCCGTCGTAATTGACGGGTTCTCCTCTTCATCCCACAACGTCAACGCGGGTGTTTCCCAGGCATCGGCCTTGGCTCCAACACTGTTTCTCTTACATATCAACGACCTCCTTTCCTGCACGATCAACTCAATCCACAGCTTCGCTGATGACAGCACTCTCCATGCAGGAATTCAGAGATCTCTGCCGCTGAGCTGGAAAAATGAAGACTAGCGACGGCTTCCTCTCTGACGAGAGACCTGGAGGCTATCACTCTTGGGGACCCAACAATCTTGTACAGTTTAATGCTTCCAAAACACAGTACTGCACCTTGAAGAAAAAAAAAGCGTTATAGCGCTCATCCGGTTTCGATAGATGGCCAAGTTCTTTAAAAGAGCCGTTCATTTCGGCTGGTCGGGATCACCAAGGACCTGATCTGGCACGAACACATCTCGTCAATAGCTGCGGCTAAGAAGTACTTTTCTCCACATGACCTTCGCCCACTATACAAGGCCCAGATAAGGCCTAGCCTCGAGTATTGCTCACACGTTTGGGGTGCTCCCCGCCCCGACTATATTATTCACGCTCGATGCTGTCCAGAGGAGGGCGGTCCCACTGATCGATAACTCTTCTCTAACAGACAGTCTCGGAACTCTTTCGCACCGACGGGCCGTCGGCGATCTAGCTCTTTTCTATCGCTACACCAACGGGCTTTGCTCCTCAGAGCTCTCTTCCATGATGCCGCCGCGCGATGTGCCTGCCAGACAGACCCGCCTGACTTCGGCGTCCCATCCTAACCGTGTCAAACTTCGTACATCCAGAACTGGCCGATACGACCGCTTGTTTGTCCCGAGGGTGTCGAGATTGTGGAACAATCTACAAGAGGAAGATTTTCCAAGTTCTACTAACCTTAGACAGTTTAAAAATCATATTAACAAAATTTCTTTGGGATCATCATAGCAGCCGCGGTGTTCCGGCATTTAGGCTTCTGCCTGCGCGGCTGCTTCGATATTAAAAAAAAATCTCAGCTATTTTGCGAAATTTCGAGTATCTCTTTCTATTTACCAGTAGGCCCGACTTATAAAAGTATGCTCAAAATTACAGCACTCCAAGTCGGTGTTGCATTTTCTATGTCATTTAGTATACTTTTGGATTACATGTTTTTTCTATTACTGCTTATTTTCCTTTAGGCTAAGTTTTGCGATTTGTAACTATAGTACGGTGTGTAATTATTACAATGAAGTCGATTGAATTGAATTGAATTGAACTTGCACCAATGATTCATTACTATTTAAATATACGCGTGCAAGTGATTTTTCCATCTTTAACGTTTGATGGAAAAATTAGCCAACAAAAATTTTTGTAACTCCCGGCGAAGAGCATTCCATGTTTGTTTTTCGTCTCTGTAACTATGACCAATCGCAGATAGCTCTGTTTCGTGCTTTTTTATCAGTGCGATATATATAGGTTTTTTGGAGGCAGGCAAATAGGAAGCGAACAAGTGTGTATGGTCTTTTGAAACAATGGCAACGAGCGCTCAGCGTCAGATGTCGTCACCTATCTGCGCACAATTTTAAAGAAAATTCTTTATTATTGAACTCTTATTTTTTCACCACCCCCAAAAACTTTCGATTATACCTTACAACCTGTAACGTTTAGACTTCGCATCTAGATATCGTCATGATTATTCTATACAATGAACAAACAAAACAAAATGAAGCACCAAGGGTTGGTTCTGGTATTTCCCTATTCGACTTGCCCCTAGGGACCGCTACTGACAGCAATCAATACGGTTAAACGATGAACCTAGGGGCATCTATAGGTATAAAGCTGAAGTATCAGTCAAAGCATAAGTAGATATTTCCTGGCTTCTAAATATGTAATTTTACTTGAGAGGATTTTTTGTTTTACGTACCAAAATTATGTCAACGACTTCTGAAAATATTTCATTCTTAAACGATTTGGAAAATTTTATTGTTATCGCACAGCAATATGCAATTCAAGATCGTATCAATAACTTTGTATACAATAAATCTTGCCAATTGTTGGAATACTATCAGATTCTTTATATAATAGCCGGTAATAAACTATAAAAAGTCTTTTTTTTACTAAGCAAAGGATTTTTCGAAAAAAATCGATCAATCATTAAACCTTTAACGATTTAAACATGAATAAACTATAAATCAAGCGACAAACACTTACAAAAGCAAATATTCAAATTTGCGGCTTCGCGCGCGAACCGACAGTGACCGTATTGACGCAGAACACGAAACTCGATACATAACAGTCATGGCAACTGTCAAAATGCCAATGTTTTGTAACACTGATGCCAAGTGATGGAGAATCCCGACATCCTAGAGAGTGACAAGAAAAAGAGGCGTGGTATTCATTTTAATTAATGACTGATGGATCTCTCACAGATCTGTCAAGAAATTGTAAAAGTGTTACCTGGGGTTAGATATCCGTCGATGAAACGCGGGTAGTTTGAATTGAAAAATGATTGATGAATGATTAATAATGTGATAAAAACTATGATTTCCTCTTCAAGTATTAAAAGGATTGTACAAAAATGTTATTGTTATCGCACAGCAACGTGCAATTCAAGGTCGTATTAATAACTTAGTATACAATAAATCTTGCCAATTGTTGGAATATTATCAGATTCCTTATATAATAGGCGGTAATAAACTATAAAAAGTACGTCTTTTTTTAGAATAGGCTTTCAACGACAGTCAATATGAAACGTCCTTTATTTTGCGTAAATTAGTCTATTATACCGCTTTAAAATACGGAAATTATCTGCTCTATTATGCTGATTTCAGTGCTGTGATTCGTAAACGGGAAGTAGTAAATTACATATAGCCACACTAAAATCAGAGCTCTGTGAATGAAATAGATATGTTCCTATGCAAGGTTATCAGTAAATGCACTTTAAGATTATTGTTGAAATCGCGATTTCACAGAAAACAAAAGATTTTCATCCGTTTACATTCTACAAGGAGGTTAGAGGAAGCATACAAAGTTGTAAAAACAAAATGTCAATGTAAGTGCTCAAAAAATTATTTCGTAAAGTAGTAAAATGTATATTGATTGCAGCAAAAAAACTTCCAAAGGATGTAAATCCCAGAGCAGTATTTGCTTGCAACGAACTGGATTTAAAAGAGGTTAAAGTATATGGGTTTGATTATGATTATACCCTGGCCTGCTACAAACCTTCTTTGGACTATCTTTTATACAATTTGGGAAGACAGACGCTGATAGAGCAGTACAAGGTAACAATGTCTAAATTAGTTTAGTAACAGACACAGTAGAATTTCCTTTATAATAGCCAATGAATATCAACTTTGCTCCAGAACTAATTGTTGTACTGATAGGACAGCCTCAAATCAAATTTTCAACTGACCTTCCTGCTCACATGTACTACATAATGATGTATCACTTTTTCTCTTAATTTAGAGAGGTGTTCCCTTAGCGGATAGTGTGTGATGTTACCATTTTATTGCGAGTAATTCTTCACCCCTACTAACAGTTATATTCTTGTTAGCGGAGACACTCACAAGTAGCAAATAAGATTATTGATATATATGAAGATTTTTTGTGATATAGTATGTAGTATGTACAATGTAATGTGTTTTTAGTACCCTCCAGATATCAAAAACTTAGAATACAGACCTGGATTTGCAGTCAGAGGCTTGCATTATGACATAGAGAAGGGTATATTGCTTAAGTTGGACTCCTTTCTTCAAATCCAGTTTGGAGCAGTGTACAAAGGCCTCACACCATTATCAAACGAAGAAGTGTTGCAAATATATAAGAACAGGATAATACCAATAGCTTATGTGGAAGGACATACAAAAAATGCTTCGGTAAGATGTACCATTTGTATCTGTAACATTCATAATAGTTTTACTACAGAATTGGCCTTATTGGAGCTAACCTATTCTAACACTTTACTAATAAAATTTCTGCTTACGATCATCCTGATACCTTGAAAACATCATCAAACAGTCAGCATGCAAAGCTTTCTAGGAATATATCAAAAAAAAGGTAGCTTATTTCAAAAATGTTTGCTGATTCAAGAGAGTTTTGGGTTGCCAAAAATGTATTCAAAGGTTTCTTATAGTTATTTGGGCATATTTTTGAGATATTAACATTCTAGAAGTAAAATCATTTTATATCAGCATCTCAAAAACCAGGCCAAATAATTTTTTTGTAATGGGTGATCCAATTTTTTACAAAAAGTAATCTTGTAGATACCAACTGATCGATACTGAATGCCAACTTTCCTTTTTGTTTAACAGATTTTTATGCAAAAATCATGGTGTTTCTTTGTTGCTTTATATGGGAATTCGCGCTTTTTCGAACCAAATTTATACATCTTGGTGTTTGTATCATAATAGCATAGAACACTTCATACCTACCAATTCTTATGGATTTGACTTTTGGTGGTTTCTTATATTCACTAAAATAGCATTTTCTAGTGTTATGCCCAAAAGACCTTCAAGTACATAACAAAAGCTACGTTTTTTCTTATTTTTAGACGAAAATCGGCAAAACTCAAATCCTATAAGGATAGTGGCGGATTTTTTTTATATCCTTAATGTTTAAGGCTGGACATACACATCAATATTTGCCCAAAAATCAAACCTATATTCGCGTCATACGTTCTTAATTTTTTAAACGATAACACTGTCCGTTACGCGTTTACAACTAATGTTACCGTGTATTAACAATGCGATTTATAATTCTAGTTCAGAAACCAAAAGTGTCGTTAGGCACACCTTAGTGTGTATGGCCGGCTTTAAGCGGATTTCATCTATGATTTCAGGAATCACACTGCATGGTCAACTAGAGAGTTTTTCATGAATTAAAAGTTATAGTTTAATTTGATAAATAATTGAAAACTCTTTAGTTGTGAACTATGCAGGTCCTGAACCATTTCAGATTGGAGTAACATCAATAACGTTGGGTTTCCACTAATATCTTCTTGTTACTCCTCTCTTTAATTTTTCCCGTTATTACCTTTATAGTTAATTTTACAGGACTCTCACACAAAAATGGTACAACTTGCCGACCTATTTTCTGTACCTGAGATGTGCCTCATTTGCAATGTAGCTGATTATTTTGAGAAAAAACACTTTGATTACCACCCTGAAATATTGTTCAGAGACATCAAGGTACGTCGATTTAATGAAAGAATTGAATAGGTCTTCTTCTAAGGTGTTGTATCTTTTCAGAGCTCTATAAGGAATTCGCACCCTGTAATGCACAACATCGTTGCTCAAAACGTGTCCGAATATATTGAAAGAAATGATAAATTGCGGCAGTTTTTTGATCGATTAGTACAAGCGAATAAGAAACTGTTCTTAGTCACCAATAGTCCATATGGATTTGTGTAAGTTAATCTGTATATATTGACTCCCCAATACCCCTATATGCCCTACATATGTCCGTAATTTTGTATTCTATAGCTTGAGTTTAGAGTACCAAAAAAATAATAGGGTAAGTTTTAGTATGAGCTTGGTCAGTAAATATTTGATTTCACAATCTTGAAGTCCTCTTTTCATAAGTTTTTTTTTATATAAGGTTTATGGGGGTTTGTATGACTGGTTTTTGAATTGCAGCCACCCGTTTTGTAAATTAGATGCCAACATAAATGAAATGTCTAAAATAAAAAATTCATTTCGAAAATCAAGCTTTTATTTCGCTGTTGATAAAATGTCCGATTTAAAATATTCAATTCCTTGTGTCAAAACGTCAAAATTTTTATTTGAAAACTTTAGATGTAGGAGCTTCACTATCGTTTAAATATTTCCAATCGGAAAAATTATTTTTAAATTATTTATTTTTTACTTTTTAGTATTAATGATGTCAAATGTCAAATAACTAGTTTTGTAATGTCTAAATAACTTTCAGATTTCTTACTTTATTTGTATTATAAGATTTCGGTAGATATAAATCACATAATGGCAAATTAATATTTTGTGGCTATCGCCATATCGAACTTAGAATGACTTTTTTTGCTTATCATGTTTCTCTCATTAATCATTTTCATTTGGTACCTGTATCATAGCGGTGACCATGGAAATTATAAATCGCTATTTTGCGCGGCCGCCGTATTAGATGTATAATGGCGTCCCTTTGCTCATTATGTTGCCCTCGTCAAGCCCTTTCATTTGATATCCATGTCGTAGGTGTTACTATGAAATATGTTAATCGCTATTTTGCGGCGGCCGGCATATTGGATTCAAAATGGCGGCAGTTAACACATTTGTATTTTCACGTGTGTACAAAAGTTCAGCTCAATTGGTTAAGTATCGGAATTCAGTTCCAAGATTTGTACCACACATACATACTAACATACAAACAGGTTAAGTTAAATAAAAGCTGAATACTGACCACAGATGGACACCTATTTCATGCTTTTTGGCTATATTACTAGTATGTTCAATGGCGAGTAGGCCACATCTCCTAGACCGCCAAAATCCGCGGCATCATGCGTAATAAGTGAGTTATCGACTGAGTCCACACTAAAAACACCCAGTCGTTAGAACTAGTTTGACTGTACTATTGATCTATTTTTACTATACTATAATAGTATTTTACTTCTTATCTACATCTGTACAGTTTGCCGTCATTAATCAAAAATATATTCGGAGAAATTATTGCCTACGCATTGTGTAATTAATTTAACGTCATTTATTCAAAGTCAACATCTAACATCGCAAAATTATGAAATAGCCCAGAGTCTATTATTAAAATACTTACGAAAATCTTGATACAAGTAAATGTTACGACTACAAAAAAATTAGTCAAGTAGATTGAATCGGTACTTTGAGACTTTTTAAATCAGCAGATTTTTTGGATTACGCTCTACATTAGAAAGCCTAAAATCGTCCAACAACGGAGATTTGTATTTTTTTGTGCAATTGAGATGACGCCTGGGAACGTTCTGAAATTTTTAGTTCTTCGCTCGTAGCTCTGCATTACTGGACCGGTTTTCTTTCATCAAAATAGTAGCGGTGCAGACGATCAACGACGAAAAGGATATCAAGTACATTGACTGAGTCGCATGGTGGAAACCACATATGTCGAACACTCGGCGACTGTATCATGCAACTCTAATCTACTCGCTATTTAGCGAATATTTTTTTCAATTTGTTAATATTTCTAGAAATAAAGGAATGGAATTCATGGTAGGAAAGGATTGGAAGGAATATTTTGATTTAGTCATAGTGCAAGCTAGGAAGCCCAGATTTTTCACTGATCTCTCTAGACCAATACGTGTATATGATGAAAGGAGTGGCTCACATATTTGGGATAGAGTCACAAAGTTAGAGAAGGGTGTTATTTATTATGAGGTAAATTTGTCATTCAACTTGACTTCCGTAATTTTTTCCGGTTATCGAAAAAATATCTAGTATATATTCTCCACTATGTGGACTCGTCAAAAAGTCCTGATGCTAAAGTTAATATCGAAAACCATGAGCTTATCAGAAATATTACCAAGCCATATATGTAGAATGCTTTCCACGGCTACATGCCGGTGTTCCTGAATTCAAGATCATTTCAAAGTCAATTCAATTTTTTATCGGGACCCTACATTTTTGACACCGGAAATAGGCAGAGTGGACAATTTTTCGTTCGGATGAGTCCTTGTCTTCTAGACATTTTGAATTTTGTAGGTTTCAATATCTAATCTACCCAAGCTTATACCTAGAATTTTTTCGTAGCGGTCTGACGGTCACCTTGGATTTCATATTGAACCTGGAGATCGGGCCCATTATGAAATAAGGCCCTGTATGTTTTCACCGGAAATGAATGGTGCGGAAAGTGCTACATTCAAAGCTAATAAAGAATTAGGAATCATTATTAACATCTTAGATTAACTAGATGAAAATCATATCAACCTCTTGTAATGTAAATATTGCCTGAAATAAATTAATTATTATTATTTTCACATCAGATTTTCAAAATGTCTACCACCGACTCTTATACACAATCTGCATCTTCGTAAAAATTGTCCTTTTAAACGTCTCAAACTTAAATTCGATATTTTGCGTGCTGGTTGACGGATTCGATAACGCAGTTCATCGAACTGGTTTTCCATAGACCTTCTCTTTTAAACATCCCGAGTAAAAAAACCAGTCTGGGGAGCGTGGGGCCGCAAAATTGGTCCTAGCCAGCCATTCCATCTTCTAAGTAATGTTTCATCAAGATATCCCCTTACTCATCATTCTGTAACTACATCCTTCTTCTTGTCTCAAGAGGCACATGTTCCAAAAGAATATGTAGATGATGTTGCAAAAAGTAAATTTAAGTTTTTAATATAATTTGCCGATTCAGCCTGAGACATTTTTTTTACAGTAATTAGTCAAACTTTAGTAAAGGTTCTCACATTGAGACAAAATGATATAATTTTTTTAGCAGACCGTACTAGTTTTCAATGAAATGAATACAGGGGTGTCTCAACCAACTATCAAAGGTAGCCCAGGAAAAAACATAAGCTGTAGGTATATGTATAAATTTCTAGTAGCCAATGTCACGCAAGGGTTAATTATTATCTTGGAATGACAAGGTTAAAACCAAGGTCAGGAAAAAAAATCAGATTTACGCCTGGGTAGAACTAGGCTCATGACTTTCGAGATTATTTGTCTCATCTCGACTTTTTGAAAACGTTGTATATGGTACATGGCTTTGTTGTGGGCATGAATGTTTTGACTAACCCCACCTCTCATGATCGCAACTGGGTAAGCCCATAGTGAAAGTTGTGCCACTTGTCGCAACGTTTGGATGTTGCTGTCACATGAAAAAGATGTTTGTCCACAAAAATTATTTTGGCATTTTAGGGGACCGTGAAACAGTTACAAGATCTTACGGGCTGGAGAGGACATCAAGTATTATATTTCGGTGATCATCCTTACAGTGATTTAGCTGACGTCACACTAGAGCATGGATGGAGAACTGGAGCTATCATAACTGAGCTAACGGTACGTCAAACTGACAACAAAACAAATGGGACTGATTTAAACATTTGCTTTCGTAAAATATATTTTTGAAGACTTGCCTCTGTCTTCTGTTTGTTGCACGATGAGACAAAATCAAATCATACACGCTTTCTAGGATACTTGAGTTGTAAAAATTTTTTTTTCAGCATGAAATAGCAACATTGAATAATCCAGAGTTCAAAAAGAACGCCAATTGGTTGCAAATGCTGACACAGTTGATTGAAGATCATCAAGACTGTGAGGACCCTGATGAACAGAAGATTTTGATGAAGTGGATGGCCGAACGCGATAAATTAAGGTAATTGAAAATGATCACCTCAATTATATTATTAATTCATCATCAATGAAAGTACCTCTTTTTTGGCAAAAAAATTCGATTCCGACACGGTCTATTTTTGTTCGTTTTTTTTTGTGATATACATTGGGTGTAAACTTTCAAAAACCTCAAAATCATGAAATTTAAATGGTACTTCCCTCTTTTGATTTTAAAATTGGTAGGAACGAACTATTAGGACCTTGCATTGAAGATCAAAGTCATATTGAAGGCCACCTGATTTGATCTTTACTAAAAAATGTTTTTTTTTTTCAGGAACGACATCAAATATGTTTTCAACGAGCAATTTGGTAGCGTGTTCCGTACCTACCACAATCCAACCTACTTTTCTAGGAGATTATTTAGGTTCGCGGACATTTATACATCTAACATTGCGAATCTTTTAAATTATTCTGTCAACCATACGTTTTATCCTAGAAGAGGTGTCATGCCGCACGAGTATATATCTTATTTTGTATAGAGTTTCCAAATATTGCACAATACCCCCCCCCCCCCAAATGACCCTGTATACAGTATGCTACCGCTAATATCATACAACTCGAGTTGGCAACAATGGTTTCATGCTATGGTTTGGTATCCTGATAAAATATGGTCTTAGACGCATTAGGGAATTATTGGACCACTCCATAAGGCCAGGCACTAATAGGGCTAGGCAATATTTTGACCACTGTGCCTGCCACAAAAGTAAAAATAAATTTATTAATTTCTTGGTCAGCCACCGCCCTAAGAGTCGTATATTGCTCAGTGGCAACTGTCAGCTCATCAATTTTTATAATTGAAGCCTTTGGTGCAAAAAGGTGTTAAATCACATTTTATAGTTTGGAGATAATTGGCCTCAAAGTTTAAATCCTGACATTTTTTATTGAATAGTGTTAGGACTGCTTTTATTACTGAAGGTTATTTTAGACACATATAAAAACATCTCGAATAGAGAGTTTTGTTATAAAAAGTAGCTGTTATCATCAGAAATTTGAAAAAGATTGTTAAAAATCTGACTTACGTCTTTTTAAAAAACTGTTATTTGCTTGGTCCGGAAAATGAAAGTAGCAGACAGGTGTTAATTCAATGATGTTTTTAAAGTAAACATTGTTCTTTATTCTTATTACAATCTCACAAAAGTCATAACAAATAATCCACACACTGTAACTAATCGTCTCCTCTTCTTAAATTTTAACAAAAGCCTCTAAAATTTGCTGGTATTAAAGGAATTTGTTCCTGAGTATTATCAAACTTTTTGGCCCCAATAGGTCAGCTTCTATCGACATTCAATAATAATGGTTCATTTTCTTCTATCGAGATTTCGCTGTTGTCTTGTATCAACAATATTCCAATTTTCCGTTTCATTAAAAGAGTATATGTACTTGGTAACACCAAATTCTTCAATCTGGGTCCATCCTACATCTCTGAATTAAAATTTATCATTAGTTGTCGTTTTTTTCCATCGACCAGTTCATGTTTTCCTGGAAGTTCTTTAATATCAACAAATTTGTCCGCCATTCTTATAATATTATTAATATTCTTCCTGGCTTCTGCCATGATTGAAATATATTGATTCGCCGTATAAATTAGTTGGTGCTTTCTACAGCTGCAAAATCTCTATTAGAGTCCATGAAGGTATGTCCTAATTCAGGGAACTTATGATCAATTTTGTTGAACACTCCAGAGTTTGTTAGGTAGTGCCATAGGCAGACAATATAAAATTTCTTATTTTGGCCACCTGCCGAATCACTTCATGCAATCGGATGATCGGAATCCATGCCTTGATGCTTGATATTCTCCAAAAAGGCCATAAGTGAGCTGCCTATCTCTTCAGGACCGCACTTTCCTTGGTCTTCGGTCCAGACGTGGAAAACATCTTTATCATTTGGTTCCTTTGTTTATATCAAATGTATTCCTAGATTGTAAAGCCATACTTGTCGTAAATAGAAGACTTCGGCACGTGAAGCGTTTTTTGTAAATCAAATGTGAGGTATATGATTTTTTCGTTTGTTTTTGCTATTCCTCGACCAGATTTTTGTACGTCAAAAGCTTTTTTATACTTTGCAACATGTTCCTCATTCGATCCTACATCGCAAACAATTTTACATTCTAAACGAAAACGGAATTAACACTTGAGTTAACACCTTTTTACCTATAATGCAAAAGTTAACACGTTTTAAAGTTACAGATTGAAGTTCTTACTATAATAGTTAACACTTTTATGAATCTCTCTTTAAGAACTAAGAGTCATATTTAGACTCTACCTGGTACCCAACTGGAAACCGCCGCCAAAAGTTTGTAAATTAAAATCACATGGAAAGATGCGAATCAAAATCAAATAACAAATACCATCCAAAACACAACAATCGAAAAAATTGAATTTGAAAGTGTTGACACCTGTGAGGAATTACAGAGTTATCAAGAACGTCTTATAGGGATTTGGCTGTGATAGTTTTTACACAAACTGCGCTTGCGAATATATCAACAGTGCAAAAATACTTCCTGCCACTGATAGTGCCTGGCTGTCTGAACCTTTCAATAATTCCCTAATATCATATTACTAGTTATTGAATAAACACAGGTTCGAAAACACACTTTAATTTCATGGCTAGTTTTGTCTGTAATTCCATTGCTTTATGTGTGTGAATATTGAATCAGGATATCATACATATTTGACCAACTCCTGTACATTTCCTTTTTATTGAAGCAGAAGTTGTAATTAAATGTTGCTCCCGAGTCTGTCTCATATAACAAAGCACTATTTTATCACTGTTGACGTATTATTATTACAGGGTGGACCATAGTGTACTATCATAAAAAAGTTCAAAAATAGACACAGAAAGGTTTTATTAATAAATCTCAAATTTTATATTTTATAATACATTAATAGCTTATAATTATTTTTTCATACACCTTTTTGGTTATGCTTCTGAATGTTTAAAGCTTAGATATAAAATGTTTTGTCTTACCCTGCGAGACATTGATGTGCTGTAATGTATGTAGCATAATAGCCTGGATACCTGCATTCTATTTAAAAACGTGATTATTCTCATAGACATGGGCGCCCATATTTCAAAATTCAAGAAGGGGGAATCAACCTGTGCTGCATCTTCATTCTTAGCGGTTACTGGAGTCGGATTGTTTATTTTTTAGAAATCTTTTTTCTTTATGGAGGGGGGTGCATCTCCACAATTCAGATCCAGCAAGGTAATTTTCGCAAATATTTTGAAAACAATACAAAAGCGTACGCGCTACTTGGTACTTAAGAAACGGGTACCATAATAGCTACATTTTAATTCTCAAGGGGAAACCAGGGGGGGCATACCCCCCTTGCCTTCCTAACGGGCGCCCCTACTTGAAGACAAGACTTGGGTCTTGTATCAATTTTTTCTTTTAATAAACATCTTTAAATGGTGTGTGGGCTCCTGGGATTTACTGTGATCTTGTTACAAAATATATATGTTCTGATTTAAAAAAAATGCTTATAATGAATCATGAAAAACAGTTATTGTGGATGTAGACAATGTTTCCGCTAGTTTTAAGAACTTTATTACAATTATCATATTTATTGATCAATCTTTAAACAGGTTTTACTATGTGCGTGAAAGAATTTATTTGGATCGTATACACTCATTATTTATATATTTGGATTAAGATATTTTTCTGATGATTAGGTTCGCATCTGTAAATTAACAATATCGTGAAACTTACATTTAAAATGATCTGAAAGTGATATATTTAGTCACTTAATTTGTAATGGAAATAACTACATAAAAACTGAAGTCTAGAAACCTAGTATCCGTTTTGGACACATTGGTATAATCAAAGTAAAGCAAATTAATTTCAAATGAAAAAGCCAGTTTTTTCAACTGTTAAGTTATTTTTGCGTATTCTTTAGACTGGCTTCAGGATTAGCTTCTTTAAGACTGAACACAAACCATCACGACATTAAGAATATGCCAAATAGAAGTAAATAATTGAATTAATATATCATCATATAGCATATAGGGTCGTTTCATGTACATTATGACATAGTGTGAAACAGAACTATTAGTTTTTGGTAGCTATACAGTTCCTCCATTTTTTTAAAACATTATTCAAATTCAGAATTGAGAAGTGATTTGCCATTCCAAGTTTAAATTTTAATGAGATTCGACATCAACAGTTATCTATTTTACTCTATGTGTGATACCAAGATGTTGAAACGGTAATTTGGGCCTCTAATTGGGAACCCTACTTTCAATATTTTAATTTCCATATACAGTTGGTTGTAAAATACCTTGAAAGAAATGTTTATAATAAATAAATTTTATACCGTAAATTATTTTTTATTCAAGCCCTTCAAAGCTTTCCACGCATAACTGGGGGCATATGAAAACCAAGATCCCTGGTGAAAGAGGTCATCATATAAAAAAACAAAATGTGCCTCCTACAACCTATGGCCTGGTGCATATATGCTTCAACTCCAGAACTATACCTTTCCTCGTTTTTGTGCTGATAAAAGGGTCTAACGATTTGAAAACCTCCATATTTATTTTTTAACAACTGATAGATATCTCCTTATTAAACAACCACTTCATATATCTACATTATGGAGAAATGAAAATGGAGTACTCGGGATAAAGAGCATAAGACGATCCTTGGGTCCATTTTAAGAAGAAAACTTGATATGAACGTATGTTTTCCACGTCTTAACTTTTGAGATACAGGGTGGTAAAGCTTTCAATATAAAATAAAACGTTGGTGGTACATTTGTGAGCAGATTTGACCTTGACCTCTTGAATTTTTTCACAAACATCCAAAAAACATGTATAATTTTTTAAGTTTTCCGGAATGACTTTTTCTATAAGAATGGTACGTGGTCTTTTCCAACACCCTGTGTCTAAGCCTAATCAAATGGGCATTATAGGACCACTATGTTCATAGGAACCTTTCGTATTATTGTTGTAGTTTGAAGATTTTTTAGTAATTATGGGGGTCCGAATTTCAGATAAATTTAGTAAAATACAGACATTTTGCAAATATGTAATGGATACAAACAAGTAAAAGATCACCAGATTTGGTAAAAAATCACCTCACCTGGCAACCCTGATCAATTTTTAAACGCATTGATGATGGCGTGGAACAAAGGAGTGTCGTTTAAGTCTGGTTGCCTATACGTTCAGTTTGATGCAAATATGAATAAAATAGTGATTCTGCGTTTTCCGACTTGGTGGCACTGCTTGCCCCTTAGTGCTTTATTGGAAGTTGAGACTGATGTGTGTTTTGTGATTAAGGTAGTTAATTGAAAATTCAGACATTCGGAAAGGAATATAAGACGCATGCCTTTAACGCTGTGAGCAAATTTGATAAAAATACTGTTTGATGGACACAATCACAGAAAATCGGTTTCATTTGATTGAGAATATATTATTATATAATATACTACTTTATATTTTTAAGACTTTTTATTTGTTTTCATTCCGAGAGTCACTTATACCAGAGATCTAAAAACCGTTTAGCAGGTCACAATCGAGTACCAACCGCACCTGGACAATAATACGCCAAGTTCAGTAATTGTGTATGAATATCGATTATGGATGGCAAAATGGCAGCGAGTATAAGATATTCTGCGGTCGGTTCCTACTCTTATTGAACATTGCGATGCTGAAATGTAAAACAACATCAAAAAGTTCTTATGTATTCTTTCTACATTATCAGCAGAGATGTCCTTGAGTCACGGTGTAAATAGGTGCACTTAATTTTTTTTGATTGGAGGACACAGAATTTGATAATTATTTTTAAATCTGGAGTTTCCAACCCGAATGTGGGATGTCTGGCAACCCTGATGCATGAGCGACAGTGCTACAGTGATGACAGAAACCAGCGTTGTAGTGGTGTTGATTCTCGATACTTTCGAGTACTCGTTACTAATCGTTACTCTTCTACAAAGTAATCATTTATTGTATTCGTTACTTTGATTACTATGAGTAGTATGAGTATAACGTTTTGGCAACGTGCGTCGTGTAATTAATGTCGAATTTAAACAAGTTCAATGGAACCGAATCTTGTAAGAAAATAGATAAGCTTAAAATTTGCAAAATGTTATAAGCATAATTTATTCAAATCTGTCGTGTTTAATGCAAACATCGTATCTTCAAACTTTATGCTCATCGAGATAGGTTATTATAGGATAGCTAGAAATGCTTATAAACGTCTCTTAGTTAGAAAGATGATCTGTATATGGGCTTAAGGAAATTCGGAATGGCAAGTAACTTTTCGAAGCATTTCAATTAAGCATATACCAGCATATAAAATTCTACGTGGAGTTTAGTCTACACATACTATTGGTGCTCATACTGAATTATATTTTTTTTTTTAGCAAAACAGTACAAGTAAACACGAGTCAAATTGACATAATTTTTATTATTGTGGTTTTCCTGAACGGTGGCGTCACCTTGTTGTCGCTTTTCTGCCTCATAATACTGCCGAACTTTGCTCCTCCAATCCAATCGACTCCTTATTACTTTTCAGGTTCCCAAGCTCACAACAATAAAAGCCAATTTGAGTCACGGTGTAAATAGGTAAACTTCAGATTTACAAACAATTACCAAATTCTATGTTCGCCAATCAAAAAAAGTTGAGTTTCCAGGTTTCAGCCCGAATTTGGGATGTCTGGCAATCCTATTGCATGAGCGGCAGTGCTACAGTCAAACCAGCGTTGCCAATCAACGATTGTACGGGTACTGATACGGAAAATAGAGTAATCAAAGTAATCATTTCGTGTTCTGATTGGTACTCGTTACTTCGGGTATCTATGAGTAACGGGTACTCGAGTACCGTATAGTTACTTTTTCAATACCACTACAGCGTTGCCACTCAACGATCAACAATTGTATGCGAAACGGGTACGGATACGGAAAACAGAGCAATCATTTCGTGCTCTGAGCAACGAGTACTCAAGTAACGAATAGTGACTTTTTCACCACCTCTATCACGTTGTTTACTGTTTGGTGTTCTATGGTCGCCATATTAATTATCAATTCTGAAAGGTTTTAAGAAAATTTTACTTTTTTGAAAACATTCTAGTAGAATAAAGTGAAGGAAAAATTAATTCAAAGCCAACGCAACAACGATAAAAAAGCTCTACATCGATTTCTCTAAAGGCTGTAACAACATGGAAAAAATAAAAAGGACCTAACCAAAGAAAAAATAATTAACAACAATTGCTCCGATTAGTTACTTCATGAGCACTTTAATTAATTATATTCCTTCATGGAGTGGCTTAAACATGATACTTGCTGAGTGCAAAACCTGAATATGCTGGTGCAATTTTTTTCGTAATTAACATTTGATATAATATATGGTGTATATATTCATTATTCAAGTTATAATGGCTAGTTCATTTAATCATGAAGATAGAGATTGGTAAGTATTATTTTACTAAATCTGAAGAAATAATGTCTAGTGAAAATGATGTTTTCAGCTGGTACTTTGGGGCAATTGGCAGAAATGAAGCAACAGACTTGCTGATGGCCGAACGAGAGGGTGGTGTTTTTTTAGTCAGAGATAGTCAAAGTAGTGTTGGGGACTATGTATTATGTGTTAAGTAAGTATACTGTTCTACTTATGCTCCAATTAATTATTTATTTAATATAAAAATTAATATGCATCTTCAGATTAATCAAAACAAACATGTGCCTTGTTTACTTTGGATGTGGTCAGAAAATTTGAGAGATAATTTAGTGCTTTAAGCATTTTATGAGAGAAACAGCAACATAAAACTTATTTGACAAATGCAAATGAATTTAAATTTAGAAATTTGATACAAGGTGGAACTTAATATTTTGGGGGGGTCTATTCAAATATGTGATAATATGAAACATTCCATTAATGTCATATTCTCTTGCATAAAAAAAACTCATAATTTTAAATATTCCAGAATAGCTTCAGAAGTACTGAATTAAGTGAAGCCAACCAAGAGACAGTTTTAATCTTTTCACATTTTATGAAGTTGCATAGTTGGGCAATTGCACTATCAGTCATTGAAAACATTGTTTGGTAAATTTAAGAAATCATACAATCAGTATTTGAATGAGAAATATAATAGATATTTGAATAATGATATCAGTGATTTGGACTGTTGGGAAAAATTTATTAGCTCTAGAGAATACTAAGAAAGTGACTATTCATGCAAAACAATGTTGAAATTCCAAATGACTTGTTTTTATTACTCACTTTTTACAATGTGTTAGTCGGCATTTAGGTATTCTTTGTTTCAATACATGAATTAACAGAAATTCTGATGAGTTCTTTGATATGCGAAATTTCCATTGGTTGCACTTTGGTAATTTAAGGTGAAATTTGATCACAAATAAATATTGAAGTGTTGTGGTTTTGGGTAGAAAATGAGCCGTCAGACCATTGAATTCAGAATCCGAGCACCAGGTTTGATGAAATATAAATTTGAAATTTTTCCAAAGATCAGACAAAAAGGGGAAGCAAGATTTTTTAGCAATAAACGTTTATAACCGATTTTTCTATTTTTTTATGAGATTAGATTGGAGAAGAAGAAAAAAATGAGAAATGGTTGAAGCTAACCTTATGGCCAGAGTATGGTGAGGATGATTATGGAATTTGCAGCTTGTTTGTATAATAATAGTTACTGTCCATGATTTTATGGGTGCAGTCATCTCATACACGCCATATGAAATGTAAAAAGTAAAATAAACCAGTGGCTTCATTGTGTGGTGAATACAAATGATTTCAGTAAAACAATGTAGATTTGTTATACATATTTACCAATAATCCTATAAAACTTGAAAGCATATCCCTAAATGAACAATCTCGCATCACAAAGTGAACAAATACACAGAATTCTGGATCAAAAATAAAAACCTGAGATAAATTATGTGCTTTCAAATTAGAAAAATCAACTTTCATAAATTTTGATTTGTTATCTTCTATATTTTACGACCTACTTTACTATTTTTTTTTTGCCGAATGTGGAGGAAACTGGTTTGTTTAAGTCCATTTTATCGAGGTGATGCTTTGTTTTTAGTTCCCAGCAATTTATCACTTATAGATGTTTGAAATACATGATAATTGTAAGTGATCAATATATAGCGCGGCATTCTTGGCTACTCTTATAACACATACAAAATTCGATGTGGTCGATTTTTTCAAAGGCTGTGATGGCAGAAGACGATCGTCATCAATTATAACGGGAGCTTCATATAATTTGTGGTTTGGATGTGGTGCCCAGTCAAATCTTGGATAATATTAGGAGTTGCTTTATTGGGTTACTATGACTAGATTACTGTCCTGGCAAAAAAACTTCAA